GCTTGGTCTAGGGGTGCAAGCAGCCTCTCTTGGCTGATTTCCAGAAATGTTAAGGAGTGAGAAGGCTCTCCTGACATTTCTGTCTCTTTTGATCTACCGGGATGATGGGCCCTCACCTCCTGCTCTTCTGCTTTCTTCTGCTCCAACTGGCCCAGGAGGAAGCCTTCAGCCAGGGCCACCGCCTGGGAGCTGCTCTCTGCTCCGCACTCCTGCACCCAGCTGGACATCTCCACTGGCAGGATGGCCAGCAGCTGCTCCAGGATCACCAGGTCCAGCATCTGGCTCTTGGTGTGTCGCTCCGGCTGCAGCCACTGGCGGGAAAGATGGTGGAGGCGGCTGCAAACCTCTCGGGGACCTTCTGCCTCCTGGTAGCGGAATTCTCTGAAATGCCGGCAAGGACCCTCTGAACCAACCAGGTCCTCCTTCAAGATCTGCTCTGCTCTTTCCCAGAATGGCCCTGTGCCTTCAGTGTTGATGGGATCAAGTCCTCTTTGTCCTTCAGGGTCAGGGGAGTTTTCTACTTCCATCTTTCATCTGTACTCCAAAGCAGCTTCCAGAATGGAAGTCCTTGGTCCTTTTTCTGCCAATTTCTGACAAGTATGTTGGGACCCAGCCAGAAAATTGCACAGATGTCTTTCTCCCTCTGCAGCAGTAAAAATACAACAGTAGTAATTTTTTTTTTTATTCAGGTAAATAGTACTGAATAACTTTAGTAGCAATTCATTGCTACTTGCCACAATAACCTGACAAATAGATTATAAAATTTATTTTATAGATATTTTCTTTATATAAGGAGTGGGGACCTGATGTCACCAAGGCCAAATGCAGGAAGTGAACCAAAATCAAATCAAAATAAGTCAAATCAAATCCAGCTTTACAGCAGTCATTGACCAGCCCAGCCCAGCCCAACCCCTTTTCTGCACTCCCTGGAACCACTTCTTTTCAAACATGTAGCATGTTTTCCTGCCATTTTTACCATGAGAAAAGAAACTCCAAGAAAAAAGATTAAAATATTATGTATATATTGCGTAGGTACGTATGTAAATTTTTAAACCACCCAATAGCCAAAGCTCTCTGGGCAGTTTATAATAAAATACACAAAATTAGTAAGGTTTGCATGGGTTGCTGCTAAACAGAATATTTTATCAAATGTTCCTAATGTTTTTTAGTATTTTACCAGTTGTAATAACATTTTTAATATTTTTAGTGATTTTTGTATAGTTTAATGCATTTTATTAACGTATGGCCATTTTTGTGCAGGTTTTACCTTATTTGTTACGACCTGTGGTCAAAATAATAAATAAATTGATTGTTGATTGATTGATTGATAATAAAACATGCAATAAATGCAATTCAAATGAAAACATATACAGTGGTACCTCGAGTTACGAATTTAATCCGTTCCGTGACTCTGGTTGCAACTCG